TTCTCAAGTTATAATCACTTCTAAAATTATAAAAGAAAATGCATGTATGTTAATCTCAATTGCAATCTCTTTATTTTGTTGACAAGCTGTCAAACCGGTAAGCAAAAGAGAATAATTATAAATCTTATATAATGTATACAATATATATATTTAAAACCTGTTATAAATTAAGCTTTGAACATTAGTATGTTTAAACTAGTTAACTTAAAACTTTATTAGAGCTTACTATAATAATAATAACTGACAAAGCAACTAATAAAATAAATTACTGTATTCAATATTTGAAAAAACAAGTCTTAAAAAACTTGTTTGAATATTATGTCATAATTATATAATAAATTATTTTACATATAAAAAATGAGATATAAATTTCAAATAAATATTTAGCTAGCTTAAACTTATTACGAATTGTTCTTCTTGACAATTATTTGTTTTAACTATGTCTAAAAAAAAAGCTCACCAATTTACTGATTATATCGAAGTTCTTAATGAAAAAGCTAATGAATGGCAAAATTATACAATTTGTCATGCTTGCCGTAATGCTGTTGGTAGACCTACTGCCTTGCTTCAAAAGTTTTCAACTAAAAGTGCCTAAGTAAAAAATTACTTAAAAAAATATAAGCATTTTATTGATGCTCAAGGTAGTAAAGAAGCTATATTAAAAATATTGGGTATTGGATTAAAAGAAATAGAAAAGCAGGATACAAGATCTTATTCAGGTATATATATATTAATTTAATAGCAATTTTATAATCTTTAAAAAAAAATTTTTTTTATAAAGAAGGGCCACTAGACAAATATGCTGTTCAGTCTTTAACAAAAAGTGACAAAAAAAATTAGAAACTCTTTTACTTCATGCAACTATTTCTGCAGGAATATCATTACAATAGGTTCAAAATAAAGAAGTTCGCAAATTATTTCACTTTTTAAACCCTAGCTTGAAATTACCTAGACATTAAGCACTAGGTGAAAGAATCTTAAATTATGAAATAGAAGAGCTTGAAATTAATATGAAAATAAAGCTTAAAAGTGATTCTGTTGGTTCAATACTTGCTTTTGATAGTTGAACCAATGTTATCAATCAAAACATTATGGATTTGGTATTTATTACATCTG